CTGGCATTTGCGGCCTGAGAGTTCAGCCTGCTTTGTCCCTTTCAAGGTCACCCAGAGTCCACAGGAACTTTCGAAAGAAAAAAGGCCTCATTTCCTCCAGGTCATTCCCATCCTGTGGGAGGGCAGGGACTGGCCACACCAAAACTTGCCCAAAGGAGGTAGGCAGGAGACAGGATAAACTGAGTCCCATTCCCCTGCCTCTGCTCATGCTTCATTCCCCAAAGCAAAGTACTCAGGGGGCAAGTGAGCTACGGGGCTTCAGAGCCTTGAGTGACAGCTGACTGCACACATGTACACAATTCCTCAGCTGAAACAGCGTTCACTCTTCCCTGTATTTCCCCAGAATCCTGATTAATATCTCAGGAAAAGCCTGGGGCAGGCATAAGGATGAGGGGAGCCTGCATGATCTAGGGTCCTGAGATGTTCTCCTTACCTCTCTGTTCCCAACCCCACGACGTATTACTATCACCAGTAATCCACTAGATTCTACCATGTTCTCTGATCTTGGTTCCACACCTTGGGGAGTCCATGGAACTCACCAGAAAGGTAGATGTACAGCTCGTGAGGAAGAGCAACGCCGGAGTCACAGCCACGTGAGTACCACATATGATGCATGAGTGGTTAGTGCATCCTCTGTGTACGAAATCTGCCACCCAGCACAGATTCCACTTGTCAGAGCACTGCCGTGGCCTTTGAAATCTGCTCAGAGTCAACGAATCTTTAATGCATTCTCTCTGAACTGGGACGTTTGTAAGAGTTCCCGGTTCCCCAGTAATGCCACCTCCTCGCCCTCGGTTCTTTCCTCGGCATGGAATTCCTATCAACCCTCAGCTGGCCACAACCTGTGCCCATCTGCCCACCTCTTAGGCTCATGATGGCGCAAGCATGAGAAAAAAAAGGAAGCTAGTAGTTGGTTTTATATTTTTTCTTTTCTTTTCAAGTCTCCTAGACTTTTGAGGAATCTTGCGCTTGAGCACAAAAGGGATGTCCCCTTGACAAAGAGACAAGACCCAAAGAGGAATCTGACTAGTACCTTTGCCCCCCACACGGTCCTTTCTACACACAGTCCTTCACCCTTTAGAGGCTAGAGTAAATCTCTGGTTTGTTGATTTCCAGGGTTGTGGTTTCCAACATGTCTGATGCCTTGCCCCTCTGCTCAGCCTCCTTCCCCAGCTACTCAGCCAGCACTCTCTTGCTTCATGTGTCCAGCTGTCTGGCCAGCAGGATTCCAGGGCTGGAGTCACAGCCCACGACGAAGACATGTTTGTCTTGGAGATGGCTCACCACCTGCTTCTCCCTGTATGAGTTCCACAGGCCCACTATGGCCACTAGGTACAGCCCAGGACTTTGCAGAGAACACTGAATTCTGAGTCAAAATGAGCCTGGCCCCTGTTCAGAATCGAAGGGGTGGGAACAAGAGGGCTGTGGTAGGCAGGAAGGGCGGCCTGCAGGCTTTTGGCATGGAGTCCTCAGTTTCTTCCCCATTACTGGCTTTCTGGTACATTTTGTTCCTGTCCCACCTCGGCTCTGTGAGTTGCTTTTACTATCCTAATAGGTGAATATCCTTGGATATTTCTGAAAGAAACCACAACTCAGTATTCAGCAAAACCTCGCTAGTCCCTGATTTCCCTCACCCCCTACACCCATGTGCGAATGCACGCATATTTCACAATGCATGCTCCACCCTAGTCAAGTCCCAGGCTCAGGTTGTTCTTACTGTCTCAGAGACTGGCAAGCCCCTTGAGCCAGGGGATTTCTGAACATAGGTAGTCGCTGTTAATACCCTGGACTTCGCATGAAAGCACATTTACAGCCACCTGTGTTGGGGACACCTGCAATCTGAACCACTTCAGAGGTGGATCCAGGAGAATTACAAGGTCAAGGCCAGTCTAGGCAGGTAGTAGGACCCTGTTTCATATTTTTTTTAAAAAAGAAGTCTGCTGATACATTTCACTGGCAGAAGTTTTGCTGATACCTTAGGTTCAAGCCGCAGTTCCTCTCCCCCAAAACCTCTCTTCACAGAAAAAAATTCCCCTATAAATCTAGGTTTTCTCATCAGCCTTAGAATCCTTACTCAGAAACCTAAGTCCTTCCCTTGCACCCGCAGAAGAGGCCGGAGGAGAGAGCAGGAGAGTTGTGGTGGCCGCAAGCCGTGAAAGAACCCTGAGTTGGGTATCCTCCCCTCGGGGACCCTGACGCCCAAGAACCAAGACCAGTCCACTGGATGCAAACGCAAGAGGCACTTTATTATTCGCACAGGCGCCTGGCAGACGCTCCAGCCTTCGGGTGACTGAACCGGGCTAGGTTCGGGGCCGATTATAGAGGGTTGGGGCAGCAAGAAGCGGGCTTACGGAAGCAGATGTATGGTTACAGGGTTCTCATTGGTCATTTCAAATAAGGCGATGGAGCCAGGTCAGGGACAGGGTACATGGAAAGCAGATAAGGCTCATTTTAGCACAGATATCCTGTTTTTCTCCTCAGTAGGGGCCCATCTGGCCTCAGGGCGATTATGCTGGCCTGGGAACAGCTTGACCTGGTTTGGACTATAGCTGCAATGGAAATTCCCCGATGCAGGCGGGCGGGGGTCTTTCAGCAGAACAACAGGAAGTGAGGTCTCCAAACAGGAAGTGTGATGCCATGAGCAGAGAAAGAAGAAAGGGAGAGGAGTGGAAACTGGAGTGAAACTTCCAGAACTAGTGGGAGACGCCCTTTCCCCTGCTGGGCAGATTCAGTTTGTCACAGCGACAGCCATCTTGAGTTGTCACTGACATACACAACCTTGGCTAGCCCCAGGCAGATTTTCTTACGTAGATTCTCAGAAATCAAATTATTAAATGGAGTCTGGCGAACTGTTTCCTGCTGTGACCCAAGCGCCTTGACATCTTGAAGCTGATCCGGGTGGTGAGGGGCCGAAGAAAGGACAGACGCAGACACGAAAAAGCTGGATCCAGTGGCTTGCGTGTGCCCTGATGGAGCCTCAGCCCCTGCAGCTGCAGCCTCAGCAAAGGGCCAACTAGTCTCTGCAGGGGGCCTGAAGGCAGCAATCTCAGACGGGGAACATCCAGGAAGCTGCATCTGCTCCTTTGGGCTCACATTGCTCCATCATCCACAAACACCCAAATGTGGACCAGAGGAAGAAGGCATTGCCAGTTCTGAGCCTGGCCCGTACAGGGAATGGCTTTGTCGGTCTGCCATGGGTCTGAGGCCTGGGTCCTTGTCATGGTGGCACCCATGGTGGCAATACACACTCACCCAGGACTTTACTGACTCAGGGCTCCCTCTGTTCTCTGAAGTTTCCTGGCTTCTTGAGCAAGTTTGATTCTTTGATACCAGTTTAAAATAAACAAGGTGACTTCTAGCTGTAATGAAGTCACTTTTAAAAATTTTTTCTACAACTATATATATATACATATATATATGTGCATGTATACATACATATATGTAAAATATATACTTTGATCATCCTCCTCTCGCTTCCACCAGACACCATTGTTTTCCTAACAAGGAGCTGTCCTGGTTCCTGCCTTTATGGGTGTCCTTGTGTCTCCCTGCAATCAGGATTGATTGCCTGAATGAGCATGGATGGGGAGCTGTTTACTTGAGCTAGGATAGCTTATCAGTAATGATATCACTGAGGAATAAGACTCCCCCTTCTTCAACAACCATGAGCTGCCTATAGCTCCTCAGGGAGGGGTGTGCCCTTATGAGCTCACACCCCACACCCCTACCCTCACTCCAGTGATGGAATGGTGTTGAGCTGATAAAGTCACTATCAGTGTACAGCCCTCTTCCTGATCCAGATGGCAGGGATCCAACTGGTTTTATTGCTACCCAAGATGGCAACACCTTGGGGTTGAATCTCCTACAGTTGCACCAGCCTGCTTCTCTCCCGTGCACATACCTAAACCTAAACCTCAGAGATGCCATTTTGGAAGGACTGCAAAGATAGGGGGTGTTTTGGACCTCAGTTGGACGGGGAGGGCCCTCAGCCCTACCCACTGGAAAGGTGTCAGTTTAGAATACATTCTGGATAGACACTATCCTTCAGGATGCCTAAAAAGAAGCCAGAGTCTGTCCCTCCATGACTGTCCATAGCGTACTCTCTCTAGGGTGAGTATAGTCAGTGCCCACAACAGTCAGGGGTGGAGGATGAAGAGGCACGTGCAGTTGATGGAGAGAAAGCACAGAATAAATCAGGGAGCTATAGGCCTGCACAGCTTCCTTTTTTTTTCTTTCACATTTGTTATTTCTTATTTAAAAAGATGCTCAGAGAAGAGCTGGACTCCATGAAAGCAGAAAGTAGACTCAACCGCCACTTGACCAATGAGAGGGAGTGGAAGAGTGGCTTATGGAGAGCACTGAGCATTGGGTAGCAGCAAGGAGCTGATTCCACCTGGAGCTGGAGTTTTCAATTCCTAAGGTGGGTAGGGCCTGTGCCCCCTTCTCATGTTGTTCCTTTGACTCCTCCTCCTGTTCCTCCTCCTGTTGCTCCTCCTCTTCCTGCTCCTCCTTCTGCTCCTCCTCCTGTTGCTCCTCCTCTTCCTGCTCCTCCTCCTGCTCCTCCTCCTGTTGCTGCTCCTCTTGCTCCTCTTCCTGCTCTCCGTCCTCCTGATGTTCCTCCTCCTGCTCCTCTTCCCGCTCCCACTCATCCTGTTCTTCCTTCTCCTGCTCCTCTTTCTACTTCCACTCCTCCTGCTCCTCCTCCTGCTCCTCCTCCTGCTCCTCTTCCTCCTACTCCTCCTCCTGCTCCTCTTTTTATGCCCACTCCTCCTGCTCTTCCTCCTCCTGCTGCTCCTCCTCTTGCTGCTGCTCCCACTCATTCTTCTCCTTCTCCTCTTATACCTTATCTACCCCTTGCTCCCGCTTCTCCTTCTCCAGGTCTGTGCCTGGCCTTGCTCTTCCTCCAGTTCCAGCTCCTCACTAACCTCCTGCTCCCCCTCTACTGTAACCTCTTGCTGCCATTCAGGCTCCTGCTTCTGCAGTAGTTGCTGGGACCCTCTTTCATTGCCTCCTTTCAGTGATGGAGAAGAGGGTAGAAAATTTGCAGCGGTCAATTAGGACCTGTGAAGACTCACCTGTGCTCACATCCAGCTAGCTACAGAAGACCTATGGGCTCTTGAGCTGGGACAACTGGCAGGCTTCATTTCCTCAATAACTGCTTGTTCCTTCACCTATGAATTCCCTAGGTCCATCCACTCAGTGTCATTTCCGACGCCTCAAACCTACAGCCTAAGGAATTCTATTACTCTGATGGAACACCATGACCAAAAAGCAAGTTGGGGAGCACAGCGTTTGTTTGGCTCACACTTCCCTGTCACTGTTCATCACTGAAGGAAGTCAGCACAGGAACTCAAACAGGGCAGGAACCTGGAGGCAGGAGCTGATGCAGAGGCCACGGAGGAGTGCTGCTTACTGGCTTACCTCCCCGGGCTTGCTCAGTCGATTTTCTTCTAGAACCCATGACCACGAACCCAGAGATAGAGTACCACCCACCAGCTGGGCCCACCCCTATCCACATTGATCACTAATTGAGAAAATGCCTTGCAGCTGGATCTCATGGAGGTATTTCCTCAGCTGAGGCTCCTTCTTAGAAGACTCTAGCTTGTGTCAAGTTCACACAAAACAAACCAGCACACCTACTGCAACTTTCTCCCTCATCCTGACAGCAAGATGCACTTGAGCTGCTATCCAGGGCTTCTAGAACACAGCAGGGTCTAGTCAGTCTCTGAAAATTCCGGATAGAGTCAGGAGTCCGGGTATGACTTCCTCCCATGAGTCTACAGGGCTATAGAGACATCCTCAGAGACACCGACCTGTCCTATGGGGCTTCCCTCACTGATCCATCCCTCCACTGAGATCCCTGCACAAACCACTTGTCAGTGCCCAGCTGGTCCTCCTCTCTGTCCTGGGTAGCGGGTGCCTGGTTCCATTCCAGGACTGAACTGTGAGTGTCTAAACTCTCCAGCTGTTCTGAGCCCCAGCTGTGGGGCTGAGGTAGAATCTGAGTCGATCAAGACTCCAGAGGGGTCTAGCTCAGCCAGGTGGGAAAAGTCGGGTCTCCCCACACACCCCACTCTTTCTTCTTCATGCAGGATGGGGAGGGACGGTGCCTGGAATATGTGATGTAAAGCATGGGAAACAGGCCCACTGTGCAAGCCTGTTCCCAGTCCTGCCACAGGGAGCCCCTTCTCATTCTTAACTGGGGACCCAGAAGTGAAGAACCAGTTGTACTCTAAGGCCTGAAGGTCTACAGCAGTGATCTCAACATTCCTAATGCTTGACCCTTTAATACAGTCGCCCACCTTGTAGAGACACCACCATAAAATCATTATCACTGCCATTTCATAACTGCAACTTTGTTCCTGTGATGAGCCATAATGTAATATCTCTGTTTTCTGAGGGTCTTAGGTGACCCCTGTGAAAGGCTCATTAGATACTC